AATTTAATTTATCTCTTACATAATTTTGTGACAGAATTTCTTTTCTTTCAAAGTCATTTTTTTTTCAATGTAATAAAAAGTCTTACAAACAGATTTTTGGATCTCCTATGGACAGTCCCATTAGTCCGATTTTATGTGACTTAGCTATGCAGTTATTGGTGACACATAGCAGTTAAAAATTATGTTTTAACGTTCCGTTTTACGTAAGATATCTTGATAATATTCTAGTATATCTTCCTACTCTTATAAAAAATTACACTTTGCACGTTTTCAATAGCTACAGTCCTAGTTTCCAATTTACTGTAAAAAAAAGTATGAACAATACCATTCATTTCTTAGATTTTCAGATTATTGTTTAACCCAATAATACTGTTATCACAAATTGGTACAGACAGCCTATACGCTTTCCGGTAGATATCGCACTTTTTTATCACATCACCCAACTTGTCATGAAATAGGTATTGTTTATATCTTAGTGGATTATAGCATAAAATTGTCAGGTAAAATATGTTATTGTGATAACTTCCAATTACAAACAAATTTCTTAACTGCTAACAATTATCCTCTCGATTTTATAGACAAATACAAAAAACGAAGGTTAAGAACTATCAGAAACACTTATATTAATAACAACAATAACAATTCGATTGCCTCATCTCATAAACTTTTTCTAAATATGCCATATGTTCTCACTTCATACAACGTTATTAAACATTATTGTAAAAAAAACATTAAAGTGGTTTTTAGTATAAATAATAAGTTTAACTCCATGATTTTATTAAGTAAAGAAAAAACTGAGCGTTTTGATGAAAAAGATATTGTTCATTGTATCCTTGCCGAGAATGTGATAGTTGCTATATAGGCCAATCGTCAAGAGCTTCAAAAACTAGACTCTAGTAGCAGAATATGGATATAAGAAAAAGGAAAAAAAATTCATTATTATATACACATAGTCTTAATCTTGGACACAACATCGATTTTGATGGAGTTAGGTTAGTAGACGTTGAACCAAATTTAAAAAAACGACTTTTCTCTGATGTGATCAATAATATGATGTACATAACATGAATAGACAAACAGACATGGAAAAACTAAAAAGTTGTTGTTAACCGATTGTACCACCAATAGTTTCTAACAAAAAAATTATAACCCTAACTTGTGACGCGTTTTGCACCCGCGCGAATCATTTCAGCCTCGTATAAAATTTTTATTTTGTCTTTCGTGGCCATTACCGTACTTCGTACGCTTGTTACTTGTGACGCTTGGTCTTTTATCTTTGAGTATTCACTAGCACACGTACATGCGTTGGCTGTGTATTCCACGTCGTGTGAAATTTAAATTTACTGTGACTTAACAGCTTATACAGTGGACATATGGTAGGTGTCTTGCGCTCTTTCATTGTTTCTTTTGTTAAGAGACGCTTTTCTTTTAATTTTTATTATTGTTCTTTATTTTTAATCTTTGTAGTACCTGATAAGGGTCGAGATATTGTATTCAAACGACCAGAACGTCAACTTCTAGTTTAATAATAAAAATATTTGACAGTACCATTTGACATATTATTTCAAATTTTATTGATTATCACTCGATGCATCTTACAACATACTATATTTCAGATTGTTTGCCGAAACATAACTTCGATACAGGACAAAATGTTTAAAATGTTAAAATTTTTTAAATGACTTTAAAAGTTTAAAAAATCAAAACGAAATAGCAAAGTTTTAAAAATAACATATTTATTAGCGTGACAGAATTAGATGTAAATTCCTTGAATGGAGGCCTAAAAAATTATATGTACCAATTCTTTTTGATTGTAAACAAATACAGTATTTTCAAACATCTAAAAATAGTAGCAAATGTTCCCGAAAAGGGAGTAAAAATTGCTAAAATAGGTGTTTTGCGTCACAGAAGATAAAGATCAGGGTACACTGAAATTGGCTTAGCTCTTTTCCTCACAAATAGTAAAAAATCGTTGCTTTTGCCCTCTTTTCCCTAATTTAATAACTTGCGTTCTAACAATTAATAAAAGCTTTAATTTAGACCCATAGAAGATATACTAGCCTTTTATTTCCACACCAATTTTAGCAAGATTAGTTTGAAAGAAAAATGGCTATGAAAGATTTTTGAGCCAACATAGACTAATTTTTCTAATGTGCTTTTTGTTATTTTACTACAAGCCTGGGTGAAGCTCGGACTTATGAAGCTGCCTGATACTATGGAAGAAATACATCAATAAAAACAGAATACCTAGTAGGCTGGATAGTAGAAGAAACTGTCGTAGATCACTACTAAAGGACTTGCCTTCTTTCCACAACCAAGCTCTTAAAAATGAAAGCTTACTAGCTGGAACAAAAAATGCAATTCTGCCTATTAATTTGATCCATACTTCAGTACGGTTCGATGAAATGGCCTTTAAGCATGTTCGCCCAAATCTCTTTTATGGGTATTTTACTAAAATACTTTTTACTACTTCTTTTAGCAGTATGCTAAAAATTTACAACCAATCTTACAAAAATTTAGTAAACACAGTTACTGCTACAATACCTTCTTGGAATTAAAAAAAAAAAAAAAAAAAAAAAGAAAATGTATATAGAATAATGCATAGGAAAAAGACAAACAAAATGAATTTTGGTTGATTCTAATTGGTCCAGTGGTTTCTACAGAATGCAAGAAACCTCGTTTTTTAAGCAAAGACTCCGATGTAATGAGTTTTTTTTTTTGCATAAATATTAAGGGCTGAAATTTGGCAGCGTTGTAAATTTAGTAATCTCTAATAACTATACCAAATTTCAGCAAGATCAGACGGATAGTTTTTGGCAAACTGCAGCTAAGTGCAATGCCGTAGCTGCTGATACACAGGCTACGTACACTCTCTCAGGCTCGATTCTGGTGTTAGTGATGGCGTACGTTTTAACTGCAAACGCTTTTAACAACAATGGTGTGTCGGGAGCGAATAACCAGCTTCCACATTGTAAAAAACTTCAATACTTTAGTAAATTGAAGAGTAAGTATTAAAGAATATGATCCTGCAAAAAATTGTATCTAACGTTGGAAGCAACTTTTTTGAAGCCGTTTTGCCTAAGTACCTTTTTTTGCATTCAACTGCAGTTTGCAAAAACTATCTATCTGATCTTGCTAAAATTTGGTGTAGTTGTTAAAAATCACTAAAGCTACAACTCTGCCAAGTTTCAGCCCTTAATATTAATGAAAAAAAAAGTTATTATTTTGGAATATTTGCTCAAAAACAAGGTTTTTTGCATTTTGCAGAGACCACTGGACCAATTGAAATTAATCGGAATTTATTTTGTTCATTTTTTTCCACACATACTTATATATCTGGCTTACTGTTCATTTTCAACTTTAAAAACCGTGTTCTACTATTTATGCCATTTTTTTAGGCCTTGAAGGAAAATATTTTTGTTCGATTATATTACAATCGATTACCTTTTTTAAATTCCCTAAAGCATATTTTTTTCGAGTTACTCTGAATTTTATGAAAAATTACGGACATTTTAGCTAATTCGTTCACACTATTGGGTCACCCTGATTCCCTAAACTTTCTTCAGTTTTTTCCATTTTTACCATTTTTTGATAGCCTATGTTACTACTTTCAGCTGTTAAAAAGTATTAAAATCTTTTATACTAAACAAAAACTAGTTAAATGGATCTTTTTTTTTTATCTTGAAAATTGTATAGTCAAGAAAACGAAATCTATCACGTTATGTCTAGAAAAAATGGGACTATAAAGATGAAAATAAGAATAAATGTTTTCTATAAAAATAAAAATATGATTGATTGCACAGACATATATCCACGCACACATACAGCAGAAGAGACAAAGAAAAGAAGACACACATAAGGGACATTTTTATCACAGTGATATATTCAGATCTCAAATTAAAAAATAAATGATGGCTTTTCATCTTAACGCGTAATTATTCAGTGTCAAAACTTCTAGTGTATAGAATCAAACAATAACATTTATCTAAAATTTTTACTTAGTTAATATTTTAAATACGAAAAAAAGTTATATTCACGTAATACTTACTGAGTAAGTAAGTCCTTAAAATATTAAATCCTTAAAGTAATTGTTATGTAAAATAACCATGAAAAGAAAAACATGGACTTAAACATAAGTGATTTTCAAAAATCTCAAAGTCACTACATATTAGCAAACCATTTAAATCTTAAACTTTTTTCGATGGTCAAAATGAATGTACCACGCATAACAAAGTTAGTGGAGAAAATTTTGAGGTGTAACTAATCATATATCTTACCTCTTATACACAAATACATTCACATATCAATCCTTAGAGTCTTTATGCGTTGATTTCAAGAAAAATAAATTTTTTTTCAAATTATAATATAAAAATAATATGATAATAACGACCTAGTAAAAAATTAGCTATTGAGGACCAACAGGCTTAAGAAACTAATAAAATAAACACTAAAAAAAAGTCAGAACAGTTCATTAGCAATGGTAGAAATTCATGTACAAAGCTAACTTTCTATGTTTATTAGAAATGGATTACAGGAACCCTGAGGAATTACTGACAACATATGGGCACTTGTACAGCTGTATACACTGATACTTTTACTTTAAATTTAAGTGTATTTTTTTGCAAATATTTTATTTTCTTGGATTGCTAACACATATAATTTAAAAAATCTTTTAAAAACTAAGAAATCACTACCTTTAAAAGTTGATTTTTAGACTTTATTTCAAAATAAAACTAGTAAGTGGAATCTGAAGTTTTTTTAGTGGTGGTAGGAGTTAAAAAACCGAATACAAGCAATATTGTGTGAAAATCTGTTACGAAAATTAAAAAGTGCTTTAGTTTGTGATAACTCCAAGAAACATGTTCGTAACATGTTACGATGATATTAAAGAATATTTTTTTTATAACTTAGTTTTCTGTATATTACTAAGCAGACATTTGTTAATATTATATTTTCCAGTAGAAATATACACAATTTCAAAGTATTAATTTTTTTTCCAGGTGGTTCACCAAAATTGTCATCTGTAAACATTTGTACATCAGTACCCATCTTTAGTAATGGAAGCTAACACCTGAAAATTGACTGTGATAATTATTTACCATGCATAGAAATGAGGCAACATAATTACGTTTTTAAATTAAAAAACTACTGTTTTTATTAGGAGTTGCTTTGTATCATGCTTCATTTCATTATTTATGATGTCATGGATGCGAGATTACGCAATTAGTCAGCTACATATTGAAAACTATCATTAATTGTTTATGAAGTTAATGAAGTATCAGATATGATATATTGTATACTTAAATACGTGACAACTATCGTATATTGTTAAAATGCTTTTGTTAGCACAATACTAGGCTGAAATTTTTCTTAAAAAGACGCAAAGAAGTACTAGTATTAAAAATCTTTGATCATTGTAAAACTTTTTTGTTTTATCCACATTTTATTAGAATTACAGTAGTTTAATGTAAATAAGTACTGCTACTTTATTTGAATCATCTCTTTTTTGTTCTTTTATTACGATATATATAAATGTAAACATTACATCATAGTACAGTCTTTTACAAGTCCTGTTTTTTTCTGATAATTACTGTAAAACTTTTATTGTCTTACAAAAGATCGTAAAAAAATATAATAAAGAATTCTTTTATTATCTTAACTTCACTGGCATTATATTTTATTTCTAATAAAGTACCTAATCCCATTTTTTGCCTCAAAATAAGAAATGGAAATTTTTTACACATTATTGTTCTCCAGAAATACTAAATTCACAGTTTTATTGAACTTTTACTCATTTATTGTAAATGTATCAAAATTACTATGACTTCTAACTCACCGTTATAATAAAATGTATTTTTCAAATCTCTAGCATTGCGCGTATTAGATAGTATAAGCTCAAAACAGAGTAAGCTTAAAGAAACATTATATTTTATAATTTCTATTATTGTCTTTTTCTTAGTTTTTATATTTACAGCTAACAAAAATCAAACCTCACTTAACTAAATTTAAATGTCTTACTTACACTTCACCACTATCAATAACAATTTACACTATTTATTTATGACTCAACATCTGAATCAATTTAAAAACAAATTAGCTCATGATGATCAGTTTACATTCAGGTGTATATTTCCATGCTACCACTAAGTTCAAAGGTATGTTCTTAATAACAATTTATTCCCAATACTTTCATATGAATAAGTTTAATCTTTTCTGCAAAGAGATGAGAGCAAAATTTTGATTTTAGAACCGTGTACGGTCCGTATGTTGAGCTATTAAAAGCTTGGCTTTTTTCCACTAAAAGAAGACAAAAATGAAAGAGAGCACCTCTTAAAGTTACGCATGATATTCAATATCAGACTTAGTTTATACGATGATAATACATACTTGAATCCCATACTCTGGAAAGCTATACGTTATGTAATAAATAGATTATGGTATCGATACTCCAGACAAAGACTATGCCCTAATTGGCTCTGGACGAAAACAATGCCCTTTCGACATCCTGGCCGAAGATAATGCCTTTTTTCTAGTCCAGACAAAAACTATGCCCTTTTTTTGGTCTCAGACGAAGACCATAGCCCTGGGCTAAAACTATGCCCGCATACAGACGAAAACTGAGTTCAAAAACATCCAAGTATTACTTACTGACCCCTCTTGCATAGTACTTACCCTAAAACAAAAAAAAACCTCCAGATTTGCTAATTCATGCTAGTAGCGGCTAACAGCCACTAGTAAGCTCGAAGAAGCTCACGAATACGAAGCTCCTAAAAATGATTTAACATTATATATGTTAGATATCAAAGTATCTATGGATGCCTTTGTAAGAAAAAAACAACATGTCATCATTATTCTTAGCAGATTTAGCAGCGTCAGTGTTTGGAGTTTAAGTAAGTGTTTAAAAAAAAAAAGAATGAGCTTTTTCAAAAAATTTTGTGAAGTGTAAAACTGATATAAAAACTGTAGATAACAATGACTATACAAATATATTCGACTATGGATCTAATTGAAAACACAAATATAGGTGAGCTTAAACAAATTTCGCTTCATCCAGGCTCGAAAAAAGGTCAATATCTTTGTCCAGACTCGGAAAAAATTGAATTATCTTCACCTGTATTAGAAATAAAATGGCATAGTTTTCGTCCGAACTAAACTAAAAAGCAAAGTTTCTGTCCGAACTCCAGAAATGGGTATAGTCTTTGTCCGGAATCCTAAAAGGGCACAGTTTTGGTTAGTACTAGAGTAAAAGGCATAGTTTTCGTCCAGACTTATGTAAAGGCCATAGTTTTCGTCCAGGCTTCGAAGCAGGGCATAATCTTCGTCCGGGGTGTCGATATACATTCTTCTTTATAAGAAGTGCAACGTCTAATAGCTAATTATATGAAACAGTTGACTCTTAACAAAGCATCAATATTAAGATTAAATAAGACAAATGTAGAAGCATTCACTCAGATTTAAAAAGAGATAAGTATCATAAAGTAGTAAGTTGAGCCATTACTACAGATTTGTTAGTAAAATAGAAAAACACACCTTTCCAGAAAAAAACAGATCTAGGTTCAAGCCTTGTTAAAATTAATTTTTTTTTGTTTATGTTCAAATTTTTATTTACAACTTTTGACGATTAGTTGTTGTTTTGCAAAAAAGTGTGTCTTATTATTCACAAAATTTTTGATCAACTGCATAATAATTAAAATTGGATGAGATGAAAAAAAAACAACTTATTTCACCATATTTATGTATAATATTGTTTTATGACCGGACTTATTCAGAGTAAGGTCTTAACTGTTTTATTTAAGTGTCATTCGTGGGATTCTTAGAATTCAGCTCGTGAGCTTTATTTGTACTTTTATTTTTTTTTTATTGAATAATGATCTTTAATTGAATAATATGGGTAATTAATGTAATTCTTTATTAAAGCAATTTAATAATAATTTGTTCTTTTAAATACAATTTAATAGAGTCACTATAACAAGGTTCAACTTAAATTTTATTACTGATATTTTACTCACATCTATCACTGACTATTTTTACTGCTGCTTCGGAAATTCCTAATGCTCCGTGCTGTAACCGTCAGTATTTCCTTAAACTACACGAACGAGTTCGTGGCCAGTAGGATGTTGCGATTTCTGCTTCTGCTGCTATCGCCGGAATCACTTTCGGCGGGCCTCCTTTGCTGTACCTCGCTCCTTAGCGTAGTCCGATACTTTTGATGTTCTCGATACGCACTTGAATTGACTCAGCCAACACGTTATGCCTTACGTGTATAAGGTACTCACAAGTCGCGAGAGTCAAGAGTTGACTAAAACTTTAGAGGACAGGTGACAGACGTAAAGAGAGCATTTTTTTCCTCTTGATAGTGCGTTTTTATAGCATCAGAGCGAGTAAAAGAGGCCTTTGGTTGAATTATGTCAACCAATGAGCGATTTTCTTGCAGACAGCGTTGACAGTTGCATGATGATGTTACATGTTATGATCTTACATCTTAGGAAATAACAATACAACAGTACCAATCGCATTTTCTGACAAGTGCAATTGAGTTTTTGGGTCAGTGATGATGAAAGCTCGTATCAGCAATATGATAACGCCAAATACAAGTTCAATTGTGACAGTAAGTCTACAATTTCGAAATTAATCCTTCTGAGGATTTTACAATCAATTTTTAATATAATGAAGTTATGTGTGAATTACAAATTTTTAATTAGTATACATAATCAGAATTAAACAATTAATGAGCAAGTAACTATTCATTCATACATACATGCATTTTTACAATAAGGCTGGCTGTATTCTATGTCAGCATATTATGAAGCATTCACCTCAAAGCTAATACGCACACTCGCACACATAAACGACATACAAGCTCCTCTTGTCATATGAGCTTGCTTTATATTCACAATACGTCTTATCGGAATTTCGATAGACGGATAGTTTTTAGTTATAATATAATTCGTATCAACTCGGGTTGTAACAATTGCATGCGTGAAGTATTTGAAAAAAAAATCGTGCTCATTTCGTTTCAAACCTTTTAAAGGCTTATACGTTTAGTTAGTTAACCAAAAACGTGAATTTCTTCCAAAGAGTTAGCACTAACAAAAAATTTTCTGTGTGAGTAAAAAAAAGCTATTTAGTTTAGATGCATATGAGTTATAAACTTATCGTACAGTTAGTAGCTGTGAAATTTTAATATATGCAAAAAATTATTAATCCTACGAATACATTCTGGGATATAATTTAATTTTCGTGTTATGAGCTTTATAAAGTTAGAATATTACTAAAGTTGAAATAGAAATCAAAATCATACAAAAGACTATCACATTACAATGTACTGATATAGCACGCATTAAAGATTTTATTGAAGGTTTTACTGCTTTTATGATTTGATTAATTTTGTTGCTCCAAATAAAGCCTCAAATAAAACTCTGTTTAGTTACTTTTGACCTTAAGGCATTGAAAAAAACAAGCTTTTATTAGCAGAATAATATTTTTATGCGTCTTCAGTTTATTAAAAATGTATTTTTATATACATTTTGCAACCTTTTCTGCGTGTCTAATACTTTTTGTCTTGGTGCTCTTTGTTTTTCTCTTTCATAACATCACTCCTACACTTTGTTTATTATTTTATTATTTTTTCTGACCTATTTTTCCAGCACTATTTTATTTTCTATAGCCTCATCATTTCTTATAATAATGCTAATCACTAAATTTTTTAATCCTAAATAAAAAATCTTTCAGTTTAGAGTTTTATTAATATATATTTACTTTACAAGCCCTCTTGTAATTTGATAGTTTCGTTTTTATTGAATATTCCATTAGTTCTCATATTTTCGTATTTCTTAGCTCCAACAATGAAAAATTTCTTTTGGCCATTATCTTGTCACATGCAGTATATATTTTTCCGTTTCTTTCATTTTCAATATTCTTAGGCTCTTTTAGTTTGGCCTACATCTTTCATAAAAAACAAGGTGTATTTTGATTCATTTCTAAAGCCGTATCAACAAATTTTATTTTTTATTTTCTTGGTTTTTCTCATTTTTCCTATCCCTATATGTGTTTTCTATGTAAGCTTCTATGTGGCCTTGACTATGGAATCAAGTTAATTTAGTTTTCTGGTTAGTTTTCATAAGTTAGCTCTTTTTTATATCAACTAATAAGCGGCCCTTCATCTTTGATTTGAGCTTCGCCTAAGATTCACTGAATGGAGCACTGTAACTTGTAACGTCATTCTAATAAAAAAATTTTTTGATTAAAATCCATGCATTTTTTACTGAATAATAATCTGTTCGAAAGTTCAATATAAAATAATTATACTAAATACTACCGTGCGTTTCTAAGATCTAACAAAAAGTATATTCTTAGAAATTTTTTTTTCAAATTTTAAAATTTTATTATCAGACGAATAAAGTCCTGGAACCTAATCTCTCCACTTTATAGCACCGCAATGAATACAATACATATTATTCTACCTATTAGAAAAGCTGGAAAATTTAAGTGATTATAGCCAGGGTCATAATAAAAAGCTAATCTCTCACTTAATGGATTACTTCATCGTCCATTTTGACGCAGCTGTTTTCACCTTGATGAATGTTTTGCGTTAGTTTCTTGACGCCTGAAATTGTGTACATTGGATGCATTTAAAGTTTTTCTTTTAATTTGCCCTCT